GCGCCACCTCCTGTGCCCGCTCAGAAACCTCTGGCCACAGGGGACAGCGCCCAGAGACCCCTCCCTGACCAGACCGGCTGCACCAGGTGCGTACCCAGGGTGCACTCTGTGAACTCCAGAGGAGACAAGGCCGCAGGCCCTGGAGGGTGTGGCGAACAACCGTGGAAAGAGCAGCAGAGGGTGCCTGGCACGCGTGTGGCACAGCTGCTTCCCCGGGAGGGCCACGTGGCGTCTGGGGCACTCCACGCTTTACTCCTGACGTCAATGCACAGGCTTGGCCAGCAGCAGCTCCAATTTTTCCTTTCAGAGAAAGAGTGGGTCGTACCTACTGGTGGAGATGGCCAATGCAGACAGAGTGCCGCAGGTTCCTCGGGACCAGAGCCCTGGGGGACTCGGGTCACAGGAGCACCTTCTGGGTGCGCCACCTAGACCTGGCCGAAGGGGGAGACTCGTGTGAAAACGGGTCCTGCCCTTGGGTCCCAGGGACACTCTCCACGTAGGAGAGACCGCCGCACACCCAGTCCTAGCGCCAGCCTGCAGACCTGCACAGGCCTCTGGACACAACCCAGGTCGTCACGGGTAGCAAAGCGCACGAAGCCCTTGTCCAGGTCCCCACGCTTTCTCCTAACGGTGGCTTGAGGCCTCCGTCCAAGACGCACACGCCTTCCCCACAGGAAGCTGGGCTCCTGCATATTGGGCTGTGAGTGATTATGTTGTTACCGTGTTACTGTATTTTTGTCTCAGGAAAACTCTAAATGTTAATATGTATTATGACATTTTTGATTATAGTGGAGGAGAAAACAATTCCTGGATTAAAAAAAAAAGAAAGAAAGAAATGAAAGCCTTCATGCCGCATGGCTGACGGCGGCTGTCGCGGGGCCTGCCTGAGCATCTGCAGGCTCCCTAACGAGGGAGACTTGAAAGGCCGCGCTGGCTCTGGCCTGGAGACTTCTCGGACTCGTTACGCGGCTTGGCTGGCAAGATACCGGCAGAAAAAAACAGTCACTCCCAGCTGTTCTGTGGCGGGACAACACGTTAAATCTAGACCATTAAATAGTTCTGGAAGCAAAAGAACAGGTGGCAAACGATCTCCAAGGCAGATGGCACCTTTTAATATTTGTATTTGATGGTAATTTTTGCTACTAGAGACCGACTCCTCACTCACACAGCACCTTTCTCACTCACATGCTTAAGAAAATGGCAAGTCACGTCGTAAAAATAGGCAGGATCATTCTTAAAAGAAGAGCCACCTCATTTATCCCGTCCTGTGCGGCAGCTGCCGAGCTCAGTCAGCTCTGAGCCCACCTCACCATTCCTGGCACGAGGTCAGGGCAGGACCCTGTCTGGGGGCTGCAGGTCTGGAGCGCTCCGGGGACATCCCCAGCCCCTCATCCCGTCTCTCACTGGCCCTGACACACAGCTCCTTACACACCGAGGTCGCCTCCCCCGGAAGCTCCTCTGCAGTCGGGAGCCAGAGGCCTGAGGAGCAGGGAGGAGCCAGCAGCTGTGGTGGAGACCTGGGGGAGAGGTCACCCCTGGTGGCTCCTCCAGCCGTCCCAGCCCAGCTGTCAGCAGAAAGGGCAGGCTATGACTGCA